TTAAATATATTTTTATTACAAATCGAGTAATAAGCAAACATATTTCAACAGACACGGCCGAAGTATATTACAAACACGGCACAATTCCATAGTTTTATTTGACATATTAATGGAGTGTATACACATGTATTTTAACGGCACAGTTCGATTATGTTACAGACACGTATTTCAAAACACCAGGTCGAAGTAAATTACAAACACGGCTCAATTCCATAGTTTTAAACATGTATTTCAACGGCGCTGTTCGAGTATGTAACAAACACGGCACATTTTCAAAGTTTAATTTGACATAAATCGAGTATGTATCAAACACGTATTCCAAAACACCAGTTTCAAGTTGAAGTAAATTACAAACACGGCACAGTTCCATAGTTTTATTCTGATTACACCAAATAAACATAGGTGAACAAAGCACAGACACGTTGTTAATTATGAGGCGAGCTGTCGACTGACAAGTGTTCACACATGAACAGAGCTACCTGGTGATGCTTGACACCGCCCGCGGCAGCTCGAAGTGGTCGACAGGCTACTACCCGGTTAGATCAAAGGCCTAGCTAACCGCCAGCGCAGATCCTGTTGCCGTGGAGCACAGGTAAATAAAGGGGGTAAAATAAAAAGCCACGAGTAAAATAAAAAGCCACGAGTACTTTAAAAGTCCAATGAGTAAAATAAAACGTCTACGGGTAAAATAATAATCGGGGAGTACTATAACTCGTCAGGGGGGTAAAATAAACCGGATAGGAGTACTTTAACTTGTCAGGGGGGTAAAATAATAATCTAGGAGTACTTTAATTCGTTAGGGGGGTAAAATAACCCGGATAGGAGTACTTTAACTTATCAGGGGGGTAAAATAATAATCTAGGAGTACTTTAACTCGTCAGGGGGGTAAAATAACTTAAATAGGAGTACTTAAACTCGTCATGGGGGTAAAATAATAATCTAGGTGTACTTTAACTCGTCATGGGGTAAAATAACTCTGAAAGGAGTACTTTAACTTGTCAAGGGGGTAAAATAACCTGGATAGGGGTAAAATAAAACATATGGGGTAAAGTTTTACTCCTTTCCGGGTTATTTTACTCCTAGACGTTTTATTTTACCCCTAAACATTTTATTTTGCTCAATTCTGAGTATTTTACTCCTTTTCTCTTCACTAGTATTTAAGGTAAAATGTTACCGAATAAAAAGTAATTATAAGTCACATGCAATATTTGAGACATTTTTAATTGTCGGGCCATAGGAAAAAGAAAAAGCATTTTGCTCAGCCATGTTTTTTTTCCGTTTCAGAACAAATACACTTCGGCGAAAAGCTATTTCACGTCATTAGTAATGTATTTGAAGTACCAATTTTAAATTGAAAAGTTTCAACAATTCAGTTTGTGGTAAAACACTATTTTAACATCGAAATATAATATAATAAACGTGTATTTTGGTTACGATATTGCTTGAAGGAGCTGAACTTTCATAAAGCTTGTGAATGAATCATTCTGGATTGACAATTCAAGTTATTCCAATGTTAGTGTTCTGTTTACTGTCGGTTTTACCGGCATTGCATCTTAATACAAAAGACGAGCTTTTGACAGTTAAAGTTGAAAGATACATTTACCACAACACTTGTCAGTAAATACTTGGCGTGAAAGTGAATTGTCTAAAGGGTTGAAATGTAACCAAAGTAATGGTTGAAATTTTCTAAGGTGAAGTGGTATTTTTTCTTGGTCTGTATTCATAAGGCCTTTCTAATGCACAAGATTGGATTTTGCGATAAAGCGTTTCTCATTTTGCCGATCATAACTTAATAAAATAAATCGTATAATGTTTTTAATGTTAACAATTGATGTTTTGATCGTTTAAGTGAATTTATAGAATATTGGGTTGAGCACAGAATCCATGCTTAAGCATGAGAACACTTTCATTAATACTGGACCAGTTCAAACAGCAAGTCAAAATCTGTAACATTTTGTATTTTTCTATTGAACCAGACTGGGCCTGAAATACTGTTTTACAATAGATGACTATGTTTGGATGACAGGAGAAGATAGTTAGGATTTTGAATACGTTATTGTTGGCACTGTTTTCACTTTTATATATATTATAAGTAAATAAAAAACAAAAGATTATTATAAAATGACTTATTTATTTATTTTATGAAAATGTCTTTGATCGTAAATCATGAAACACTACGTTTGTTCTTATGTTTGAAGTATTGTGTGCCATAAATATGTTTTATTAATGAGGTAATAATAAAATAATCTCAGAAACTCAAGTGCTATATTTTCCCGTCTAAAAAAATACTTTTCCCACCCATAGTGATGGTAGCATATTCTATTTTTGTAAGTTTTATAATTACAACGTATTAACTTTAAAAAATCAATGATTTCCGCTAGCAATATGGTGACATGTGATGCTGATATATGGGTGAGGTATAGATATACATCATAGTCCGGCAAGCAAACAAATGGATACTGGAGGGATAAAAGAGACGATGTATTCGACGATTTACTTGGATATAAAAAACACTTCTAGTGGAACAATGCGACTACATGCCTGTACTTTGTTAAGATATAGATAAAGATCATACGTTCAAATTTTAAAACGGTTGAAGATATATCGAAGGAACCAATTGAGATCTTCTATGAGATTGTGAAAACAAAAACTTGGAACGTTGTTTTAGATAAGCTTGTTATAACACGAGATTAATTGAAATTTCCACTGATGTCTCGAAAAGACACTAGTTACATAATGAAATATTTATCAAGTCTTTTAATACATGAAATTTAAAAAGGAAATGTCGTTTTTCTTAATTACATATTTTTATTATATCATTTTTAGTTAAATATTAAAACTATAGCTTGACAAAAAGATAGGCTCGCGCATAGTTTGGATTGCAATCAACGTAATGTATGAAGGTGTTGTTTTAACCTGTTTGTATGAGGGCTGATACTTGTCTATATCAAATTGTTATTGCATATAAAAACAATTTCTAAAATTATTTTTGCTTAATTTCAATAATAATTTAGACCAATTCGGACATCCGCCTTTCTTAGACCCCAGCATTATCGATGAGTTCTAGAAGGACGACTTTTTTGGCGTACTGTATCTATAACCAAATGAATCACATGTGTGTACCATTTGTTTATCTTTCTAATCTAAGATGTATCACGTGTATTCTGTAATGCTTCTTTCTTTAAAATTATTAACACTTTTATATTATTAAGTAGTCATGTTCACATTTAAAGACTTTATGTTTTACATTTAATGTGTATGTATTATTGCTTGTAAAAGCAATGACAACCAAAGTGGAAAATAAAACCACTCATATAACTAAGACGAGGATAGAGCGGAAAGATAAAAAAACGAGATGCGGTAGAATCGTCAGAAAATGTAGATACGACGTTTCTAAATAGCATTTTAAAACGCCGTTTTCACATTCTTTTTATTAAAGTAATACACATTAATGTCTGTTCCTTAAAAAAAATAGACGTTTTATCAGTTACTCATATCACAAAAATGTTACCTTTATATACAGTGGTAGATCACAGATATCGGGATTAAAAATGTTTTTAAAATAATTTACTCAAGCCGAAGCGGTATTCACTTATTATTTCAATATCCTATCATTCTCGTTATAGTTTCAATCCTAATACGCTCACATTTTGTTGGTTATTTCTTAATCAATGGTCAACCTTAAATAGTCGGTCAACTACTAATGTGAGAATTATATTCGTTTTTATTTATCTCGAATATATTCCATTACAACATTCACAAACGAATCATCTAGAGGTATTCCGGAGCTTTAAGTAATTCTTAGTTGTGAAGTTAATCTAAACGATGTTTATATTCTAATTGTCGCGCACACATTAAAACATGACGCACAGGTACGTGACCATAATCAGTAAATAACCAAATATAAGGTAAGCACTTGATGTTACCACATCAATATTAAGTTAATGAATGATCCTGACGTGTATGGCTGTGGGTTTATGTAACTTATGGCACATTCGTATTCAAAATTACCTCGGGTCAATTCAATGCAATCGTATGTTTTATGACGATTTGCAACTTGTATACCTAACATTTTGCGAGATATATATTTGTTGCGATTATTATCATTAGTGAATATTGTGATATCTCAATGATCACAGATATTTCGAGTCTTACAGTATGCATCTCAATGTAACAATGCACATCAAGGCACATGGTGTGGTAGGCATTGCATGCTTATTTCTAAACCTATGTTACAGTATCATTTCCTCATATGAAAAGCTGAGATAAACCAAAATAACATGTAATCGATAGTATTAAGTCTCCAGAAATATATGAAAAATAAACGAAAGCCACGCAACATATGTCTGTAGTATTTCATTGGCATCAGTGGTTGATTTGACAGTGTGGGATTTAATAGTTTATGTTTCGAATCTTAGTTATATTTTAAATCTCATCAAATATTAAAATGATTTCAGGAAATACAAAGTTTAAAAATCATTTTTTTATTTATTTTACTCTAAATATTAACATAACTATATTACTATGCAATTACGTCCTTTCTGTAGAAAATGGGAGATACGGATGTACAGATCGTCGATGTTAGACGTTCCCATTCAGACTACATCAAAGGCCAGGTTACCTACCAAACAAAACTGGTAAGAAGATCAAATATTGGATTTTCTTGATAACTCACTCGTATATCGGATGCACCTTTGGCGATTTTCTTTGTCGCCAATAGAAGCTGAAATACTGGCAAAGGGATTTCATAAATATTTCATGGGAAGGTTACTGACATCATCCTGACCAAGTGTTGTTATTTTTCAGGTCGATTAGAAATCCAATATGGCCGCCACGGCCGCCATTTTGAAAAATATTTCAAACTTAAAGTAATATTCTGCTGGGCCGATTGAACCGAAAATTGGTAGGAATGATCGACTGATGGTCCTGACAAAGTGTTGTTATTTTTCGGTTCAATCAGAAATCCAATAGGGCTGACACGGCCGCCATTTTGAAAAACTATTTCAAACTTAAAGTCAAGTTCTGCTAGGCCGATTGAACTGAAACTTTGTAGGAATGATCGACTCATCGTCCTGACAAAGCGTTGTTATTTTTCAGGTCGATCAGAAATCTAATATGGCCGCCACGGCTGCCATTTTGAAAACATATTTCATGCTTAAAGTTAAGTTCTTCTAGGCCGATTGAACTGAAACTTTGTAGGAATGATCGACTCATGGTCCTGACAAAGTGTTGTTATTTTTTGGGTCAATCACAAATACAATGTGGCTGCCATGGCCGCTGTTTTGAAAATACCTATTTCAAACTTAAAAACAAGTTCTAATAGGCCGATCTAACTGAAAATCGGTCTAGGATAGATCAGCTCATGGTCCTGACAAACTTAAGTTAACGTTAAGCTGAACATTTTTTTACTCAAATTGGTACATATTTCAACAACAAAAATAAATACTGTAGGACTCAGGTGACCGTTAAGGTTAAGGCGAACGCGCAACATTAAAGCCAGAAAAGTGGTATTTCCAAGAAAATCAATTGGAAGTAAAAAGAAGATAGAAAAAGAATGATAAATATCCCAAATGTTGCAATGGGTGCAGCAAACTTAAAAACAGCAGCAGATGTTATTGGTCGCTTTTGTGTTGCCAAGTAGAGGGAACAAAAGCGAATGCCCAATTAATCGCCTCTTACGATACCTGCAGTGGGTAACAGCAGTTGTACTCTTTTCCCGATCCCCGACCTGCAGGGGTGGCCAAAAGAAGGCAGAGTTGTCAATCACACATAAAGTAACTTATTTCTGGTATATTTGATGCCATATTTGATCTATTTCATAGGGAAACTGTGTATGCATTTTGCTTATTAGACTTCAAATACTGTTTTGTTATCGAGTTGTCATGTAATTGATGTTTCAAAATCAAAGTGTTACTTTATACACAAACAATGTACGTGTCAAACGTGCCGCAACGTTTCAAGACTGACTGGTCCCTTTGTTAAGCTATGACGAATGTTTAAATGGTTTACTTTACATCAGTTCTGCTGATACAAAAACGTTATATATCATCAAGATAACGTAACCAATGTCTGTCTGTATTTGAAAGAATATTTATGTATTATAAACTTTATTTATTGTTCTCTAGATCTATTTCAATGTTGGCACGTATGGAATTCTTAATTTTGTGATGTATTTACCACAGGGTATAGGCGACCCTCTGGCCGTCGTAGATATTGACGAGGTGGTGGAGAGATACAGAAAATGGTTCAAGCTGTTTCCTAGGGTGGAGCTATTCTATGGTAACGTTATCCTTATTTTAATCTGGTTCTTTGTTCTGATCTCGGGACAACTTTTACCTATTATCAATACATTTGTTCTGCAAAAACCTAACTTACAATGGTTTAAAATAATAGTGTTTTACCTTTTTACATCGTGCAAATAATAGTACAGTTCATCCATTTCTATAACAAATCTACTTAAGTAGATTAAAAACAGTAACAGTAGCAGTTGTTCAAACATGCGTTGTGATCACACAATTATTTTCCCTTTTTATTAGCTTTGAAGTGCAACAATGATAAAAAGATCATCGATGTCCTTGTAAAACTAGGAAGCAGTTTTGACTGTGCGAGCAAGGTATGTTTTTATTCAAATCATCAATTGAAAATAAAACCAGTTCGATTCGGATGGTTAATTGTCGGAAAACCTTTGAAAGGCATTAAACAATATAAACATTTATGTTAAACGTTCAAACAACTAAGTCTGTTTTTATTCACATTTTTGTATGTGTGGTGCCTACATGCAGCTTGTGCGCAGAAGTTCCGAAACTAACGTTTGAGTAAAGCGATTCTATTTAATTAATTGTATTGGCAGAAGGATTTCGGCGGATTGGTATTACTCACAGAAACAACAATTGTGCTACCATTATTTTTCTTTTCTTTTTTTCCCCTTAAAAATATCAAAAGAGTTATTAAATAGGAAATTGAAATGGACTGTAGCAATCAAATAATTGAAAATAATTGTTTGTAGGAGCAACACGATCTCTATAAAGCCAATGTCGTTTTTATTTCATTGAAATAAAACCAGTGCCTCTGCCTCTTATTGCATATAATATATATTAACCTTATCTAATGTCACAAAATCGCTTATTATTATTAAAACAGGCGAAAAGATATCATATTAATGACGTGGTGCAAGTTTGCGTTACAAAGGTATTTAAAAGGAACACAGAACTCTCTTAAGGAAAACATTTTGACTTTATCATTACCTGCACTTTGAATATAAATTCATCTTAAATAAACATTCATCAAGATATCACCCCTAAGTTAACGCATGTTTTTCTTTCGTTTGCGGAGTAGGTTGAGATACAACAGGTATTAGAGCTTGGAGTTGATTCGTCTCGCATCATCTACGCCAATCCCTGTAAACAAAACTCACATCTTACTTACGCCAAGGAGCACAATGTAGATCTGATGACGTTTGACAATGAGGAGGAATTGATCAAGATCAAGATGTTGTATGGATCAGCAAGGTGGGTTGTTACATACAACAAAATGAAAATTAATCGTTGCTATCATAAACATTTTGGTAAAAGGATTAATTTCGCGTGGTACGGAATGGTCTGCGAATGAAACATGGCGGCAAAGGTTTTTAAGAAAGTATATAACATACCATAGACTCTCCAAACCGTTACTTCAAATAATTGATTTTTTTAGTTAGATGAACATTATAGCATTTTACTTTGTTGCAGATTACTTATGCGGTTCCGACCAAAACAAACGTATGAAGTGATGTACGACCTGGGCAAGAAGTTTGGTTGTGTCTTTGAAGAGGCGGTGGATTTGTTTATATCGGCAAAGAACAAAGGCTTGAAAGTTATTGGTGTGAGGTGTGTAGCATTCTTTCAAGTTATCGTATTAAATAAGCAAATGAAACCAAACTTTTCATGAAATGCAACTCTATGCATCATTATATAGTAAACTGTCTTTAACACCCTTTCCCGTTATCATTTAATATCATATTAGCGTTTGTGTTTATAACTGCAATAATTACACTTTCCGGAAATGGTATGTGTTGTTAAGAATCAATTGTTTATGCTTGAATCTCACAATTTACCTCAGGTATATGTGAGATAGTTACGCGAGGGAAAATGCGTTAACATTAATTGACTTCATGTTTAAGTTTCCATGTAGGAAGTAACTGTCTCAGTTCCGACGCATTTGCCTCCGCAATCAAAGAAGCCCGGATGATATTTGACGTAGGACTACAGGTCGGATTTGATATGAACATGCTTGACATTGGAGGTGGATACCGGGGCAGAGATGTTGAGCATCCGACTATAGAAGAGGTATAGTTTTGGATCAGATTTATAATGTCAAATATGGAATGAAGTGTTAGAGGGGCGATAACTCTGTTATCGTTCCTCTGAACGAAATGTTAACACGGCTAAATGTAGCTAATTTGCCGCATATAACAGCGATTTGAGTACGAAAAAAACAGCTCCATAACTTTTGCTGAAACTTCCCAAGTTTGTAGAACTCGGCGCGATCTACCTCCTTGTGTATCTGTTATATCTGGGAAAAATCTAGTTATGGAGATAATTGGGGTCAAACACGCCAAAATCGGCATTTTGACCATTAGGTTCTGTATAATTCACCCTGGAGAATTAACGCTTAAAGCTGACGAACTGAAACTCCAAACATAAGTAGTCCAAGTTATTTTGAAGAAAACTGCAGATTTAGTTTTTCGATATCTTTCACAGAACGACCCAAATAGGGCTTTGAAAAATGAGTGCATTTCTGGGGTTTCGTGGAATTTTCCAGAAGATCCGAATTCACCGTAATCAAACGCCAATTTGGGTACCCATTCTAGGCTGGAATTGAGATAAGATCTTGTTGCGCATGCGTTAAATACGAAGAAATGTTCTAGCCGCTTATCCGGTTCAACTTGCAGCGGTGAGTTGGATTGAATTTTGACTAGTGCCAGTAATTTCTACCATTTTAGGATATGCTAGGTTATGGCTATTTTACAACGATCAATGTTTGCTGCTGATCACAATTATGCCTGTAAGATATGACCACGGACTTAGATCTAATTCCGTGATATGACCCAGCGTTTAAAATCTATAGCAAAATCCCGTAGGCCTACTGTAGCCTTACATGTTTGTTGACGACGCGGAGCAGTTCTCGTTTCTTCAATATTTACTTTCGTTATGTTTTGTTTCTACGTTTAAATAAATTAAGATTTCGGTGTGTGAAGCCTGTTCAGTGTTTGTAGAAATCTCTCATCTGTGATAATTTGTTTACGTCTAAAAATAGCCACGGAAATCCCAAACTTGAGGAGACATCACTACACGCGCGACGAGCATTACCTGTATGAGCATTACAAAGATTATAGGGTCAATTACAACGTTGACTGTAAATGCGTCATTATCAGAAATTGTCACATTTTTTGGAAAAGGAAAACTCGAAACAAAGACAAATCCTGTGCTGTTACTGCATTTTGTTTCATTTACAGTAAACATTTCAAGTGTTATTTCCTAAAAATTGTTGTTTTGGTAGGTATAACCAAAAAATACCACACATATTTAGAGAAGTTCCATCCTGTTACCAATACCATTAAAAATCAATTTTAACAAGAAAAATAAATAGATTAACATATATTCACGTTGTTGTACACCTCCAGTCGAGGTAAATTGGATTATTTTTTATCATTACCCATGTTGTATAATTAGTCAAAACGAATGAAGCAGTTATTTTTGCAACTTTTCAACCCGATAAACTGTAATATATATTGATATTCACTTCTTCATCTTACATAATCGATCATTAGTCACAAGCGTTGACATCCGAGTCGATCTAATTTCTACAATTCTGGTAATAAATCTGATAAATTTTGATTGAATTCAGAGACGATGATGAAAAAAGAGTGTATGAGGAGACCTGCAATCAAAGCAAGTTCCTGTTAAGTTAATGTCTGAAGTTTGAACAAATGTGGCTCTTAATCGACGACTACTGCATGGTTACTTGCTTGTTATGATCAAATTAACGATGATTACTAGTGATTATACTGTCGATTACTTGCGATTTCCTTGTATAACTTTTACATGGTAATAAGTCGCTTCCAATTGTTATTACAGAGGTTTTGCAACCTTACGGGTACATGTGAGCTACAGTACACGTACAACTATATTCTATGATTACATAAAGGACCGTACACATGTACGTGTAGCATGTAAGCTGTGACTTTTCAACTTTCTATCGTATGAAAAGGCAAAGCCTAAAAAGAGCGTTGCTTTTGTTGATATCTGTTATTAACTGATTCAGAATGAGATAAGAACATAAGCTCAATGAGATTTTAAGACCGACATAACAATTAGGGAGAGACCTGGGCAAATTAGGCCCCTTATATTTAGGTCCGTTCTGGGAAGTAGGGTAGCCATCCGTTTTTGAAGAACTATCTAACTTTTCCTGTCAGAAGATCGGATGGCCGAACGAGCCACCACATGGGGTAAGTTCGGACGGGCATTCGGGTAAGTTAGGCCCCCCGTGGAATCAGCTTAATTACTTTGTCATAAAACATGCAACGTCAGATTTTCCCGCCAATTTTACGACTATAATTGTGAAGTGTTGCATGGGCCGAACCTGTCCGGCTCAAATTGATATTTCAATAAATTCCTATAGTACAACAATATGAAAGTAAGTGTTTGGCTTGGCTATTATGTATATCATTTGAAGCTGTTGGTGGTTTACACGCTTGACCGTCAAAAACGTAGCAATTCCGTTTACAGAAAGTTAGCATAACTAGAAAGATGATGATTTTCTTTCTTATCTAACATCTCAAAAGTAACTTTCTCCTTTTAAGTAATTTTCATTATAGTTTTCCTCGTTATTTTTATATGATGTACTTTTTTGGCACTCATGTTTATTAGATGTGTAACAGTAGAAAGATAAATGCAACGGCCAGACTGGGAACCCGGAACNTCCCGAAGACACACCAAACCCTATACAACCTTACATGGGTAAAAGGAAAAAGAGGAAATGTAACAGCCAGACCGGGACTTGAACCTGGAACCCTCCGAACTCTAGAAGGATGCTCAACCAATTGAGATATATGGTCGCCGACGATCGAATCAGTCCAGTTTCACTGCATTCCTTCTCCCTCCTCAAAGTCCCCGCCCCCGAAAAACACAACTATTTACAACCCAGTTTCGGGTATTCCTTTGCTAAGCGTACTCCAACTGCTTGAAACAAGCGTCGGCAAGATTTCCAATTTTGCGGCAGGAGAACGAAAAAATGTAACGGCCAAACTAGGGTAGGTCTAAATATAGCTGTAACATATTCTCAGGTCCCTGTTGTGTTCATATTTTTTTTGATATTTTTCTAAACAGGGAACATAAAAGTGGATACATTTTTTGTACCCTCACGCTGCAGTTTTCATCATTTGGTATAATCACGGAAAGTCCGTGGTATAATACTACATTTACATGGGAGACTTATCTCTTCTGGAACTAGAAGAAAATTCTTCGTTTGTGTAACCGTTCTTCCTAAATTCCGGTGGTGTTGCCTGCAATGTTCAATTAATTTTACTAAACTCTATAAAGCTGTTTTGGCAGTAACTGCACTCGAAATAATCCATCTGTGTGGTGTGAGAAAAAAAGTTTAATGCAATAAACCATACAGTAATATAAAGCCGCAGACCCTATTAACATACAGTCTGGTCGCTATTATCCATACAGTAGCATGTCAAAAAGGTGCTATTTACAATCATTGTTTATTTTATGTTTAAAAACACAAATGCTTTGAAATCATTGAATTAAGAAAAAAAATCCATGAACCATTTGTCGAATGAAATCTGTAATTTAATTATTGACATATAATCTGTGAGATTGTCGACCTCGATCGGGCCGTGATAACCGCACTGATTCTATATATTTTAATGTGCTTTTCAGTTTCATTTCTGGAATATTTCAAGTTCGTAACGCAGGTTGATCTATTAATACACTTATTGTTTTGCATCCACCCTCGTTATGATGATAGTATACCGAAAACATGTCCATGATCACAAGCATGCTGTTGTCTTCAAAAAGCTGACTCGCTTCGGCGATACACTTGTTTATCCCGGTATCGTCTACATATGTCGGTAACGTCTGTTTCATCATTGTATATGTCATACTTTAATAGTTCTTCTATATTTGTAAATGATTTTGTACTGGTACTTTGTAGTCATTTTTAGCTCACCTGGCCCGAAGGGCCAAGTGAGCTTATGGCATGGGGCAGCGTCCGGCCTCAGTCCGGCGTCCGGCGTCAATATTTTACTTTAAACAACTTCTTCTTAATACTGCAAGGCCTAGGGTGATGATACTTGGCCAGAAGCAAACTGGGATGAAGGGCTACAAAATTTGTTAAAAAAAATGACCTTCACCTATTTTCAAGGTCATGTGGGTCAACTATGTTAAAAACTTTCAAACAACTTCTTCTGAATAACCAACCCGCCCAGGGTGATGATATTTGGCCAGTAGCATGCTGGGATGAAGGGCTACCAAGTATAATCAAATCAATGACCTTAACTTATATTCAAGGTCACAGGGGTCAAATATGTTTGAAACCTTTATACAACTTCTTCTTAATAACTAAGAGGCCTAGGGTTATAATATTTGGCAACATGCTGGGATGAAGGGCTACTAAGTTTGTTCAAATGAATGACCTTAACTTATATTCAAGGTCACCGGGGTCAAATATGTTTGAAACCTTTATACAACTTCTTCTTAATAACCAAAAGGCGTAGGGTTATGATATTTGGCAAGAAGCATGCTAGGATGAAGGGCTACCAAGTTTGTTCAAATGAATGACCTTGAAATATATCCAAGGTCACAGGGGTCAAATATGTTAAAAAAACACTTTAAACGACTTCTCAATTAGCAAAAGGCCAACGGTGATGATATTTGGCAATTAACAGGCTGGGATGAAGGGCTACCAAGTTTGTTTAAATGAATTACCTTCGCCCATATTCAAGGTCACAGTGGTCAATATATGTTTAAATCTTTAAATGACTTGTTCTGTATAACCAAAAGGTCCAGGGTAATGATATTTTGGCAAAAGCATGCTGGGTTGGAAGACTATAAAATCTGTTCAATCTAATGTCCTTGTTCGACATTCAATGTTACAGGCGTAATGTTTAAATCTTTTAATAGGTTCTTATTAATCAAACACTGATATTCTGCCTCTAGCTGTATTTTAGTCCACGTTTAAGATTACAAGTTTGAGATTAATACCAGGTGAGCGATTCAGGTCGATTGGGCCTCTTGTTTACCAATATCTTCAGATCGCATGAAATAGTTTACAAATAATCTGCATCACAAACATCATTGTTTATTGTAAAACATCCCGTGGCTTGTCTGCGCCTAGCGTCCATGCCCGCTTCGGTACTAGCTATATCCGGTGTCAGACCTACACAGTGATAATGAACAACAGAAATCCTATCCAAACTTCAGCTTATATTTTTTTAGCAACAGACACTAATTCTTAAATAGATAAATAGTGACATAACATCCAAGATTTCAAAATGTCATGTTTATGACATCACAGTCATCTGTTCCCACCCTGGTAATACAGATATGTAGCAATGATCATAAGAAACTGTCCACTGATCCCATTGTTATACGCCGGTCAAGTTTGACGGGAGTATTATGGTATGGCATCGACCGACCGGCCGGCCGGTGTAAAGTTTTGTTTGTCCGCCAATCTCCTCCTACATTTGTGGACCGATCTCTTTGAAACTTGGTATACATTATAATCATGATATGAAGTTGTGTTTCCTTTCAAAGAATTTTGATTTGAATATTTTTGCAAAAAGTTATTGCCCTTTGTTTATTTCAGTATTTGATTTTTTGTCTGGAGATCTCCTCCTTCAATTTTTGATCGATTTCTTTGAAACCTGTTAGGCTTTATTATCATGAAATGTTTTTGTGTTTCCCTGAAAAGAATTTTGATTTGACAATTTTTGCAAAAGTTATTGCCCTTTGTTTATTTCAGTATATGATGTTTGTCCGGCGATCTCTTCCTACATTTTTCGACCGATTTCTTTGAAACTTCATAATCATGATATCAAGCTCTGTTAATGAGTTGGAGACTAATCTTTTGATTACTTGTTTTCCTCAAACTGTTAGAAATTAAAGAAAATCGAACATTGACTTTGTAGTGAAAGGTGATATTTATAGCATGCTAGCTAGCCATTCTTAAGGTGATGAAAATCTTATTTTAATGCAAGTTAATATATAACACTATATGGTATTCGACGGGCGTATATTGTTCCACCCTACGCTACTCTTGTTAGCTCATCTGGTCCGAAGGTAAATTTTGTCCATTTCTTTTTCTTTGCCTTGACGACAGCATCATGCCAGACAAATTATGGAAAAGGAAATCCCCTTGACCCTTATTTAAGGTTAAAGGGGTCAAATTTGTTAAAACACTCGAACAATTTCTTCAATGTCATGTTGAATAGCTGTTTTACCAGTGTTTAAACAGAATTATTGCCCTCTACACTTCATTCCATCTGTGACATCCCTTCAGGTGTCACCCCACTAGTATATTATGGATCAAAGTTTATTGTGTTAAATAATTAAACTTGAATGTAATGTCTGGTTAATTATCACCAATTATTCACTACTTTTTTTTCAATTTTAAGAAGTCCATTACTACCAGTGACACATTGACATGGTACAGATAACAGGGACAATATCTAAGCAATTTTGAAATAAACTTAATATTTCTGTTACATGAAGAATGCAGACATCATAAACCAGTGTCTAGATGAATATTTCCCTGAAGCAGAAAGAGTGACAATAATCGCTGAGCCAGGACGTTACCTTGTAGAAACTGCTGTCAGTGCTGCAGCCAATATCATAGGCCGAAAGCTTATCTATGATAATGGTACGTATGTGATACATGTATAAATGATCGTTAAAGAAAAGAAAAAAACCCACACCGCTGATGAATACATTTTGGTAAGAATCAGCAGAAATACGCATATTTGATGTCTATTTGTTAATATTCATAGACTTTTTAAATCTGTAATTATTACACCCCTAATATCGAATTTGTCTCCTGTGTATTGGTTTTGTTTCGATTCAATAATTGCAGTTTCTGACACTTTAGACGGTCACCACACCAGCTGCTGGAAGCTTAATCATATACAATTATGTGACTGCAGTTTATTGTTTATTAATACAATGCACAAGAATTTACAATAGTTAGTCTTGTACTTTGTTTCCATTATAAAAAGTTTGTTCCATACTGCAAAGTTTTAAGTAATATAAGGTTTAAATGATAAAGTTTTATAGAAAAATGAAAAAGTGGAAAATAGAATGGGTATGCAATTTGAACGAGTAACGAATGAGTTGATCATTGCTCCAATGCTGAGATAAACTTATTGTAGGTATCTAGAATATATACCTACCACTAAAAATATTACATATAATAAACAGAAAAATTCCATTTTTTTTTTTTACTTTATATAAAGCAAAATTGATGTTTCATAATGGATGATGTTAGTGTCTAGAATCCTTGTGTAACATATTATAGGTATGTCAGTTTCACGAGACCTTAAAAACATAAAATAAGAGCCCGCAAATGAAACGACAAAAAAAGTATTTCATTTGCAGATAAAACAAGTCTGGAACATGTTATGTACAGCATCAACGATGGAGTATATGGAACCTTTCCTTGGGTAAAAGAAGTCACGGATGCGTTTGTTATATCACCTGTTCTGAGGAAGGTTTGTTTCCGTAGTAACATAAAACCAATCACATTATGAAATTTGGCCTTCCAGAGGACAATTTACATTTCTTAGTTTTCAATCCGTTAGATAATTAAAAAAGAAATATCATATTTTTTATTTGTGCCCCATACGAAGTAGAAATCATCTGAAGAATCTAGTTTTACTTGTGATTTTGTCGTTATTTGTTTTACTCAACTTTCCTGCTTAATCTGTTTAAAACGACTACACTGTAAGACCTTGACATTTAATCCCATGGTTTATTAAGAGTATAGAGATTTTGGTTTTCCCGTATAAAGTGTGGTATTGGACAGGCGAACTATTTAGTTTCGTTGGTAGTCACACTAAATATTTGCTATCTGGAAAGTTTTAACCCAGTTAATAGCTTTGTTTTAAGATACACAAAAATAAGATTTGCGCCAATCACTGATTAAGCTAGTCACTGTTTGAAAAACTGGGCCAAGGTGTTATTATGTCATGTCTCTAAACTGGTACGCTGGAAGTGATTTCGCTATTAACGATCAAACTAAATGTGACACAAAAAACCGTTGAGAAGGTAACATTAACGAGAAAATGTGAAGAGCACTCATTTTTCAATATCTCTAGGCGAGGAAAGAAAAACAAAACAGCACTGTATGGGGTCCAACATGTTGCTCCTTGGATTGCTTAGCTACAGACATCATTTTACCATTGATGGAGGTCGGGGAATGGGTACACATTAGCTACTCAGGAGCCTACTCCTTCTGTCTCTCGACCAACTTTAACAGCATGCCACGCCCAAAGCTGTATTACTTCTGTTCACGTGACACTTGGTATGTTATCAGTTTACCTCTCGACAGTAATTTATGGCATAGATAAACGAGACTCCATTTTTCCTATATCAATGTTTTAATGATATCAATAGTATAACCATTGATTCTAGTTGAGTTTTCACGATTTACATTTACTTACTGTAGGGAGTCTGTTAACCTGTTGATGAATCATGGTAGACCAACTATGACAGCTGACATCTTATAAAAAAAAAGGTAAATGCTGTTCTTTTTTTAACATGGAATCCCGTTTTGTAGTCATATGAATTTACATAAAACACAATGGCGCTCTGTCTGTAACAAAAGTGTTAACGTTGAAGCATTTGAAGACGAATTTCTTCTCAAAACTTTCATTTTCAAATTCATAACCACTTATACAAGCTTATATAGAGTATCTGACATCAGTTTATCTAAAGAAAAAAAATAGAGCTAATGTTGGTACATATATACAACACATTAATATCTAAAACACTGTTGCATTATTATTTTACAGAAAGTTTTTTTTTACATCGTTAACTTGTAGTGTTTTACACAAAAGAAATGAAATATCTAAATCCTCTTAATTTCATAGATGGTCAAAAGATTATTATTGAATTTTGTTTTCTTCGCATTTAGGTACACTTGACCAATGGATGGCAATGGTGCATGCGGGTTTTCTTGGACGACATTTGCACCATTTACAGGGCCCTTCACGTTTATTTCAAAAGGACAACATCGTGAACTAACAATGTACACAAAATGCTGGACAAACCACAAATCTAATGTACCCTATTATGACTAGGTTTTAATATTTGAGAAAATTATCTTCTTTCTTTTTTCGTTGATTAATAGAATGAACATAGTTGATATAAAGGTAATACATCACATTCATCAATTCATGAATATGTTTATCAACATGTAAGTTTCATAAATATTCGGTTTCAGTTTGTTGTACACTCATACGTGGTCTGAGTTGACGAATGTAAAATTCACCACATTCAAAATAAATTGTTGCATCAATTACGTTTTTTTTTTTATTTACATTTCATATGAGTCTTCAAAGTAACATTCCACACCATTATTACGGATACAAGTATTACATTTGATAATCATAGGACATGTAACACAACTTGGTATCTTACACTTAGATACTTAAGGAATTAGTAAACTTGGAGCATATCAATATACGTTTTAAGGTCTTAGGATTGCGTCTACTATGTACAAAAAGCATGCTTATCGAAAATGTGTCTCATGCGCCTGCTACTTGTTTTTAAGAACGGGATGTAAAGGGTCCCCTTTTCAATAGCTTTCCGTATGCCTATTACCTTAGTAAGATAACATGGAACTTAAAGGAAATGATTTAGTTGATCAAGTCAAGCATTTGGGACTTGCTTCTCACTGACGATAGTGATAATCTGTGAAGTAAGATTAAAAGGAGTATTTACTTTGTTGTGATTACTGTGGTAAGAATATAAATTTAGATAAGTATGTGCATCTATAGCCTTAAAATACAAATCAGTTGTAATAAAGATACATTAATAGATATACAATATTTGATGTAGCGCCCTATCGAACTAGAATAAACAACTATAAAGCGCTTAACAGTAAATAGATGTACAATTTATTCAATCAATACAATTAGCATACACATTAAATAATACATCAATCAATACAACTTCGAGGAATTTACAGGAGCTGCCTTATCAGGCGCTAACTACTAGTCCTATGCCTAGTTTAGGGCAAGATATGAAAATGTTTTATGGAGACCCTTAAATGAACCAGGATAACAAGATAAAATGTTCCGAAAAGATAAGCTTTCTCTGCTTCATCGACGAAACTTGGTATGAAAACGTAGGTCGAATCCTAGTAATGTCAAGTCTTCAACAAGTGAAGCATGGTATGGACAACGAAACAAAACTGCAAACTGACGAGTTGAGGTCTCAATTAATACAACTGGTAAACAAATTTGAACAGACAGACCCATTCACATTACATAAAGTAAATTAAATATTTAACAATAAAAGTAAGTAAGTAAACATACCCCATATGACAATTTTATGCATCTTGTGGTAGTATTTGATAACAAAAATCCATACCACTGAATTTGAAAGTCTCCTTTCTAAGAGACGTCACTTTTCATCGTTTTACGAAAAAGGCGTACAGCGATTTTTCAGAAATAAAAAGTGCGATAAGAATTGTTTAAGGACGGACGGACGCTGCCGTTGGTATGAGGTAACACTGTTGGTAAGTCCGTAACACGTCTGCTCCTCTGCTTTTCTTGGAACATAGTTATCTTCGTTTAATTAAAGTGACCAAAGTAATAGGTTTCTCTTTTTAGTTTGTCATGCAGGTAATACGTTTTTAATAAGAAGCTATATGTATGGCTGTGGTAGAGATAGTTAACGACCCGCCAGAGTGTAATACTTTACATTTGTTTTTTGAGTTCCCTGTGTGTTGAGTTACCTGTGTGTTGAGTTCCCTGTGTGTTGAGTGTGTTTTTTGAAATTTCTTATTGATGCGAAAATGAAATATATTTGACCAGTGATAGAGAACTTGAGTTAGGTAAAAACACTGTGGTACGGTTTTCTAAGTAGGATTGTAGATTATTCTAGATAGACTGATATATACATGACACACATTACACATGCATACAGAGTTGGGGTTTGGTTATTCATAAACATCTCAACTTTCCTTTTATCACGTTTAAGGAGTGGATAAAACCCTTTGACAGTTATCAACATGCGTTATCAGGTTATATTTCAGATCAGTTATATTTCAAATCAGTTTTTATAAATCTCACTTAGGTTTGGACACAGATACAAGAGAAACCATCCATACCACTCGGACGATATGTTTTTCCTCGGAATGTCATGTGACATAACCAGTAATAAATTGTAGCTGCTTGAGGGAAGACCTTAAAGTTAAACGAGTGAATAAAACGCTTTTCTCGGATAACAATGTGAGCAGGTACGTATTAAAAATTGTCTAAATGCTTGTTTTAATATAATCGAATTTACAACAAGAGCAACATATATCTCTTTTCAATGTCAGTAGGTGTGAACAAATGGAAGGTGTGTTTGATTATTTGATATTGAACATCTTAGAAAATGGCTTCACAAACAGACATCAGAAACGTTCTAGAAGATCGATAGCTTCACCAAACGACATCTGAAAAAATCACATTTATGTACAAAACTTCCGATGAATATTCAAGCATGTTTACTACTTAGTAATATCAAAATGACTAGGAACCACACAAGAGACATTTACAGGTAGTATGTGTAACGCATAATGAATTGTGGACAGTAAGGTATATGTAAAACCATACGTTTAAGTACGTACAGTGATGTTGTTACTGCTTCATCTGGGCATCATTCCAATTTTCATATTGAAAATTATTCAGAACAACAGCAAGACCATTGCAATTTTTCTGAACTGTAACATTTCATACTTTCATAAAAGTTTGCGAAAAAACATAAGGTCTCCTTCCTAAATATATGAAAACATTTTCTATAACCAAGAATATGGCCTAGATAGATGCAAGGCAAAACATTTAAAGGCTTTCAATTTCATACATTTTTTCCCTTTAAATGACCCATTTAACACCTTGTAAAAACTACATTTCAAGCAGATGAGAAGAGTCTCATAAAATTTATGTACAAGCTCTTATCAGCTATCTCTAGACGAGAACGTGTCTAGATAAATGCATGACAAAGCAGTAATGGTTTTACACTTGCATAACGTAATGTTTATATTATACAGCTTATAAATGTGTACGATATGACAAGAACAGCGAACAAAACAACCCTTTTATTAAAACAACTATGTCAGTTGAGTCAACAGCAACAAAATATCCCAGGCAGATATCTTAGTGAACATGAATGTTACCGGGTAAACTGTATATGCTTTATATATCTACGCTTTACTTTATCAATAACGTTAACACACCGACTGGTCGAACTACATTTTGTATGTCAAACTGAAAAAGACATTGATATTGCAATTACAGTCATTTGGAGGAAAGAAAGCTCGATCGTTGATTTTATTTGGACACAAAGATCAGGCTGTATTAGTAATAAACAAAATGTCTTTTTCAAATGACGCCAAAACGAACCGTAAAGAAAATGATATAAGTTTTGCCCAACATTAGACTCGGGCATCACGGATCAGGGATACCAGTAATTTTATCCCACTACAGACAGAGATTATTTTGTACACCAACATTTTCTGAAAATGGATTACATATTAACACTGCATCCAAGAATAAACTGCAACAGATCGGTTAGATACAATCGATTACCAAGCATTGCATATCTAGCATTGCATATATTTTGTTACCTGAGATAGAACAACAAAACTTCATGTTGAAAAAAATCAAAACGTTTTGAATCTGAAAGAAGATATTTTCACTACATGATCAATAATACACCAGTACAAGAAGCCATCAGTATCAACAAAGAGATACCAACAACACGACACTAGTAGTACAGATTACATCGTTGAGTGATTCATGTTTGTCATAAACACGACATACTTTGTGCTCAGAGATCTTGGATCAACAAAGGAATGAAACCGTTAAGGTTAATGTAATGTCACCAACAGTCACGAATCTATTCATGGTTCAACACCCTTGAATTGCTGCTCAAGACTGAGGAAGGAATATAAAGATAACAGAATAGAAATAATAAAAAGGGAAACGTTCATGTTTTATGTTTTATGGATACCCTTAGCGAAGTAAACACGAGCAATATCCTAAAATACATACCCACGAGGAGGAAATCATACTCATACGGATCTATACTCGTTACATGGAGAGCGATAGGCCCTACTGTACAGAACACAAAAGATAGCACCTCCCACTGAACCAAGATATTGAAGTCGTACGAATACCCCTTTATAGGAGAAAACAACAGCATACATCAACAGACAGAAATCTTGTCATTGGAAAAATTGTAAAATTAAAACACCTCAAAAAGAACAACTATTACAGCATTAAAGAAGCAATAAGTACCTTTTTACCTCTAGGATTTAGTATAAATGTTAACAATTGATTTGTATAGCAATGTTGAGTGTTTGTAGATATTTTTCAGGATAATGGGAGATACGGACGTGCAGATCGTCGATCTTAGATGTTCCCATGCAGACTACATCAAACGCCAGGTTACATTCCAAGCAAAACTGGTAAGATTATCAAATTTTGGTCTTTGTTAGAAATTTGACTTTTCGTCGGTCTTGCCATCTTACAAAATTGTATTTCGTAACCATAATGAAGAACGTTCAATCCCAAGTTATAAATGCCAGGACAACTGTGGGTGATAATTGTTCTTATACATTATTCCGGATCGGAAATACTAACAATATACGGTAGCATTTGGACAAAATTAGACATCTTTATTTATCTTTGTAATTGGACAAAATCTCTCTTTACTCTTTCCTTTTTGTTTTCTTCATTTTTAAAATTTATAGCAGTCACAACACTCGATCGGTTAAGTTGTGTTATTTATGTCCATAGCTATACAGATATTTTTTATACTAAAATGTTTAGTAATTTTTTGAGTTTCACCTTAATTTTCTACACAAAAAATGCCCTTTTTAACACAGGGTATAGACGATCCTCTGCTTATCGTTGATATTGACGAGGTGGTGGAGAGATACAGAAAATGGTACAAGCTATTTCCCAGGGTGGAGCTGTACTACGGTAACGTTGTCTTTATTGTAATTACCGTCACCGTACCGTCATCACGTCATGCGTTAAACAAGGGTCGTTTTATCAATTTTGTACCACAATACATACCTGATAGATAATGGCTCATTGTATTGTGTTTTCCGTTCCAACTAAATTTTCACTGTAGGAAAGTGTTTGAAAAAAATATTTCATTAACGCCTGTGTGATGCTAAAAAAGCAATCATAACCCTCGGGATACGTTTTTTAAGTGTCAGCACTTGACAAAGATTCGAGCGAGCTACACGATAAAAAAGTGTATCCTCGGTTCCAGAGTTTTCTATCAACATCAAATAATTGATAGATTATCGATGTTAGTGTTCTTTTCTATTTTCAACACATTTTTGGCACGCACCCACACCTGCCATGATATAAAACTACATTTTTTAAGATACTTAAATTGATTTAAGTTAAATAGATAGTTTTCTAAAATGTATCCCCACTCCTCTAACCCTTAATACCGGAAGCTATTTTGGCGACGCAAATAAAATAGACTGATCGTTTCCTTCTCTTTTCCAATAGCTATGAAATGCAATAATGATGAGAAAATCGTTGATGTCCTGATGAAATTAGGGAGCAGTTTTGACTGTGCGAGCAAGGTGCGTACCTTTTCAAGTCATATCCTACAAAGTCCGAATTGATTTATGAAATGCCGGAGAAAGAGGCCATTGTATATATGTGTTTGTTAAGTATAAACGACCATTGCGTGTTTTTTCGGTAATGGGACAATAGAAATCAGAAAATCTGAAAAAAAGAATGCTTCCATTTGCATTTCAACATCATCACTTGAGATTTTCTGAAAGATCATATGCACATATTCATCATTGTACAATAAATGTGTTAAAACAAGGTTTTTATCGTTACGCTTGGTAGGCTGAGATTCAACAGGTGTTAGAACTAGGAGTTGATCCGTCTCGTATCATCTACGCCAATCCGTGCAAACAAAACTCACATCTGACTTACGCCAAGGAGCACAATGTAGACCTGATGACCTTTGACACTGAGGAGGAGTTGATCAAAGTCAAAATGTTGTATGGATCAGCAAGGTGGGTTGTAACATAAATTAAATGTAACTGTCTGTGTAATTTTGGACCCGCAAATTTAACACTACAGAAATTATAAAAAAAATGGTATATTATATATCAAACAATTTGAATTCATTATTACAAAATCAAAGTTTTATACGATATCAATATCATCATTAATATCCGTTTGTGTTGAAGCAGTATTCTTTCTGTTACAGATTACTCCGAAAATATGTATGGAGTAATGTACGAACTGGGAAAGAAGTTTAGTTGTGACTTTGAAGAAGCGATGGATTTGTTTATATCGGCAAAGAACAAAGGCTTGAACGTCATTGGTGTATGGTGAGTGATATACAAACAAATATTAAAGTGTATAAATTAAAATACAAATAAGTTCAGAATTTAAATACGGCTTACTTTTTCTCAATCCTTATTTATTAATTCCTACGGTCTCTTTCAAGATTAATTTCGGGATGGTAAATGTGGTAATATGAATTCATTGTTTTTAGTTTTCATGTTGGAAGTAACTGTTTTACTTCCAACGCATTTGCTTCGGCAATCAAAGAAGCTCGGAAGATATTTGACACAGGACTACAGATCGGCTTTGATATGAACGTCCTGGACATTGGAGGTGGATACCGAGGGAGAGATGTTGAAAGACCGACTATAGAAGAAGCATGTGATATTGTAACAAAAGAAATATTAACCGGCTAACCGGCATTTATTCGATCAATTAGATAACAAATACTTTTCATTTTATGATGACATCTGTTGACGTCAATAGTAAATTGCGTTCATAATCCCATATTCATCTGTACAAAACATTATATCATTATTATTACATCAAAACGAATGTAGAATGAATCAAGCTTAGCAACAATGCTAAATTGTTAAAGAAACAAAAACAAAGCTTCCAGCTCTATTGATGGATGTTTTACATATTATACCGGTCACTTGATATCTATGTTATTAATTGTTTTATATTCTATTTACGTACAGAATGCAGAGGTTATACATCAGTCCCTTGATGATTTTTTCCCTGAAGCAAGTGGAGTAAACATAATTGCTTAGCCAGGACGTTACCTTGTAGAAACTGCTGTCAGTGCTGCAGCCAATATCATAGGCCGGAAGCTTATCTATGATAATGGTTTGTGCAAAGTTGTTAATGTCTTATATTTGTTTGTTGATGAGTACATATGTTTTTGGTTGCATGAACTTTGACCTCTTTGTTGCGAATAAAATAAACGAACATAAACACTAATTATGATCTTTTTCTCTTTTATTTTTTGCACTTGCACTTTCTGTCGAATGTCTCTTTATATAACATAACCAATCATCTTTTTGTCTGTTTGTTTTGTTTGGTTTGGTTTTAGTGTGTTTTTGTTTTTATTTTTAACTTTTTATTACATTTTCTCTTCCTTTCTTAATTTTCTTTGTTCGCTTTAATTGTTTCTAGACTGTGTTGGTTTTGTACGGCATTAAAAGAAAGTTTGGTGTTAATCAGGTCAGTCTATCACTATCAAATGCTCTCGTAGATCCGTTAGTTTGTGATTTTCATTAAATATATAGTTTTTACTGATTTATACCCGTTTCTTTACCTGACCCTTTTCTACGTGTTTTACAGGAATCAGAATTTCAATGAATACAAATACAAATAAATTATCTGCTACTAAAAGTGTTTACAGGAAGTTGAACTTTATCAATTATGCATGGCTTTATTTGCTTGCTTTTCCAGATAAAACCAGTATTGAACAGGTTATGTACAACATTAATGATGGAGCGTATGGAACCTTTACGTGGGTAAAAGAAGTCTCGGAGGTGTTTGTAATGTCACCAGTTCTTAACAAGGTACATCTCCTTACATAGAGGACATAGTTTATTATACCTTCACAGTGATGTTAATGGATACATATCAATTAATTATAAAGTTTTAAGATTCCGTCTTTTTAGCATTTTTAAGTTTCAATAAATATTGAAGTAGAGAAATTATCGAAATATTAAATCAAAAACAAATATAAGAAACAATTCCTGATGAAATCTGTTTAAGTTTTTATGTTCTTTATATAAAATCAAGATTTGAGAACTGAGTGCGAATTCGAAGTAAAAATGATAAAAAAGGTAACCTTCTATGACTTACTATTGAAATGTTGCTCTGGCAACAGGACGATGCGATAGCATCTTATTGACTTAAATGTAGCATTATTGTTGTGGGAGCAATATGCAGTGTAATGGTGCATATCTATAACCCTTTGAACCACTTAGTTTTGCATACGGCACGATGTCTTTTTCAAGATGCCTTCAACATTTCGGCTCCACTTACTTTCTATTGTTGATTTTACCTCAATGTGATTTTATTTTATTTTTCTGAGATTGAATTTTACGTAGATAGTGTTCTATGGTGGAATTAATCATTTTGATAAACAAAATCATACAATATCTTCAAAAATCGTTTTCAGAAATCAAGAATATTGCACAAAAAAGGAATAGCATTATCTTCTAAATTATGGAAATAAATATTCTTCAACTTATATTTTGATACCTTTTGCACATGCATGTTTCCTTAAAAAATTGATCATGATTTGTTACATATAATAAAATCTTGTTACATCAGACCAAAACAAGATTTGAACGTGATTTAAATCTCAGAATAGCAGATTCTAAAGCAATGTTCAGTTAGAAACCGTATAAATTGTGTTAAGTTGGCAAAGAAAGGGAAAACGATGTGATGATAAAACCTTAATAGGAACTCGATAAAACTAGGACTTCGTTAATGTTCTCTTTAGGCGAGTACAGAGAACCACCACAGCACGGCGTGGGGTCCAACATGTTGTGGCACCGATTGCTTAGCAACAGATATGCCACTACCACTGATGGAGGTCGGAGAGTGGGTACAGATCAGTTACGCAGGAGCCTACTCGTTAAGCTGTAGCACCAACTTTAACAGCATGCCACGTCCTAAGCTTTATTACTTCTGTTCAAGTGACACGTGGTACGTAATAAGTTTGTTTCTTGGCAACAACTTTTTATGATATCGATAAAACATTAGTTAATGAATATTGTTTTATTTTTTATTTTTATGAAAATTATCAATTAATAAATCCGCTGTTTTTAGTTTATCTGATTTTGTTTTCATTTTTTTATCAACAATTATGAAACAACGTATTTCAACTTTTATTAATCATTATTGTTGGCCAAGGTGTTAGCACGCGTTGGTTTGGTAGGATTCTTAATGTGGGAGTAAACTGCCGTACCCGGAGAGAACCTCCCTGATCACTTGGGGTTTATTCGGGTAATCCGGTTTCCTCTTACATTTAGACCCCCTGCGCTAACAGCCGGACCGACAAAAGAATTGGCATAAGCTGACAAAACTAGTTTCAAATTGTTGTAAATAACATAAACTTTATATTTCTTTAATGAATGTACAATAGGATCTCTTTAGTTAATGGATCTTTGAAGATAAGCAGTATCTGTTGATACCAGATCATCAACAACATTTCTGTAGACAGGTAAGTGATGGTACTTACTTTGGCAATGGATTTATGTGATCTTGTTATTTTGTTATCTTATTGCAAAGAAAAAAACGTTAACGTTGCAGTTGAAATTCAGTCCCATATGTTACGTTACTATGATCTTTGAATAATAATATCAACGTGATATATTCAAATTGATGATAATAAGTTTAGATCAGAAAGAACTATTGGCAACAGCATCAGTTAAGTTTCTTACTTCCAATACGTGCACCGTTGTAAATGTATTTGTCGTACTTTTTGGAAGGTTTATATTATTAAGGTAACAGCAAAGTTTACACAATTTGTTGATAAAGATATGAAAATACTTTTGTTATCTTGTTTTTGATCAAGATTCAAAACTTTATAGGGCAACAAAAATGATCTTCCGAAGCCAATTTTTTTGAATCTCTCTAATGATTCATCTCAAACTTTTCTATATTTTTTGATTAAAAAAATATCTATTTTTGTTCTTTAGCCTGTGTGTGTTTATTTCTAAATAAATATCTTATCTGTTTATAAATTATGATCATAATAATACCAACAAAGCATACCAAGTGTCACGTGAACAGACGCAATATAGCTTTGGGCGTGGCATGCTGTTAAAGTTGGTCGAGAGGCAGACCGAGATGGCTCCTGCGTACCTGATGTGTACCCATTCTCCGACCTCCATCAGTGGTAACTCGACATCTGTTACCACACAATCTGTCGCACTACAACTTGGTCCCCACACAATGCTTCTGCTCTTTGACGTTTCTTTCTAAAAAAAGGGAGTAAATAAGCAAAAAGGAAAACGGTTAAATATATTGTAATATCTCCTAGAAGCAAATTGATATAACGCGGAACTGATGCCGACTTTATAGTGCTACCGCACTGAAACATACTGCCAAGGACCCCCAGCAGGACATCCCACCCAGTCCCATGATACTGACAACAGGCGAACCAGTCGTCCCACTCCTAAATTGCTGAGCGGAGTAGAAACTATCTTTTTTACAGACTATTGTATGTCTTGGCCAGGGAACAGAACCCAAAGCCTCCCTCACAGGGGCGAACGCTCAACTTAAGGCCAAATGTGAAGCATTGTCAAGAGAGACATTAGGAAGAAGAAAGTTGTTTGGAAAGAAGAGAAAATATAAGATCCCAAATTTAGTTGCCTCTTACGATCATGCAATTGGGGCAGCAGATACAGTTCTTACGCCCTACCTGCAGGGACTACAAACCTTATGCTGCTAAGGCGATACCACAAACGACTCAGCTTCGTAGAGCATCCAACCAAACGTTCCATATATCCCCTCAGTTAAGGTGTACATCACACTTCCAATACTATTTCTTTCTGTAATGACGAAAGACTTAAATGGGCGGGTATAAGTAAATGGAGGTGATGTGCCATATCGCGATGGATTTATTTTGTGTGTGATGGCGCCCCTATCAGTATTAGTTTAAACTACTCCTCGGTTCATAGTAAACCCAAAACATTGTCATCAAAACAGACAATGATCCAGATGTCGTAGTGAAAAACAGAACCGTCTCTAATGAAGAGGACGTACGATTATCTGTTAGGAAGAAATCTTGATTTTCTATAAAGAATATGTAAAACGGATTACACTATGAACGCTAGTAAATTATATAAAACCGGCTAAACAGTAGTTGATACTGCATATTCTGATATCGGCGATGTCGCCTTTTAACCTCATAATCGAATATTCATTCGTAAAGGTAACTGTTACACCCACTCTCGTGTGCTGCCTTGATTATATTTGTACATGTAATGAGTTAATAATCAATCTTGTTAACATTTCCGTTATTAACCAAATTTGACAATGTAAGGTGTGTAACATTATACAGTTGTTTCATGCCTTATCAGTCAACAGTCAAACTATTTTCCCGAGGAGTTGGGACCCACCAGATGAACTTTTTCCCGACGCCGCAGGATGTCGAATGTGATGTTTAGATCTACCGAAAGACGACCGTCAACAATCCAGTACCAAAAACGCTTGATCATCGGGGTGCTTGTAATTATAGATGCGTTCGATTACCTAACACGTGACAAGTCAACAGTTTCACGTGACCAGTCAACAGTTTCACGTGACCAGACAACAGTTTCACGTGACCAGACA